CATTGAGTTGCGAGGAGGACATTTGCTGTTTGTATCAGACATAAGCATGGGATGTGGGACCAGACTACCAGCTGTCATTTGGTGCTTTGTAGAACAGATGGCCTGTCCGAATCTGTTTGTTTAAATTTTGTCCCTCCAATCCTTGGGCAGGGATGGTGGACAGTGTAAACCCGAAGCTTAGGAGAAAGTGAAATCAGACCGTATTCTAGAACACTGGTTGGAGAGCAGGTCAAGGCTGGGTGAGACTCCCACTCAGCCATGAAATCTGTTGGGTGGCTTTGGGCCACTCACTCACTCTCAGCCTAACCATCTTGAGAAGGTTGTTTTGAGGACAGATCAGCCTAACCTACCACACAGGGTTGTTATTTTAAGGTTGTCAGGTCTGGGCTGGCAAATGTATGGAGATTTGAGGCTGGACCCCAGGGAGGGCAGGGTTTGGGGACTATATAACATTATATAGAGTCCACCCTGCAAAGCACGCATGATCTCCAGGGTGTTGGAGGAGAAGGACTAAACTCTGTGTCTTATCCTCAGCCTCCAGAGGGGGGTTACAAGAGAGTCAGATAGATAGACAGGCAAACCGTGAGCATTCTTCCTGTTTACTCTTCTACCTCTATCCCTTTGACGTGTAGACTGATACTCTCAGGGGATTGCTTACTTCCTTCCGTTCTCCCTCTCCCTCTCCCACACACACAAAGAAGAAGCACGTTTCTCTCCATCTTTGGCACCATGGATGCAGATCCATGTTGCATCTGCATCCATACAGCGAGTTAGATTAGATTCTCTCCCTATCTCTCAACCTGCACTCTCTAGGACACAGTTCCTTGAATAAAGGATTCTTATTCGTTTTGAAACTGACAAGTGGCTCTGTGTCATTCCATAACTTTGCTAGTACATGCAGAATAAAGAAGCTACTGCTGAGTGTAGCCATTGTGCACTCTACTAAATATGAAAAAGATTACTGGCTTACTATACCAGTGAATCTAACACAGGGGAGCTGATCACTGCCATTAGGAGATGAGTTGCAATTATGGGAGATTTCCAGGTCCCACCTGGAGGCTGGTTTGATGAAAGGACCTCCAAAAGCAGGATGCTTAGTGCATCGAATTCAGAGAGCTGGGAGATTAGGGGTGAATACCTCACTGTAAAGCACAGTTTGATTAACAGGCTGCTGTCTATGTGCACCCCCTTCCCTCTGATTGCTCAGTGCCAGCTGAGGAGAGCTTTAAAAACTCTTGTCAATCTTGTCAGGGAGAGTCGGTCATCATTTGGACTTTGGCTTGGCAGTTGCCAGCATTGCTCCCTCTACGCTTCGGAGTCTTGTGAGCAAAAATTCTACTTTGTGAGCTACTGGCATTAAAGTTGTGAGTGAGCAATTTGGCTGCTGCATAAAGTAGTTTGCTCGGGAGCCCTCCTTCCTGAGCTAAGACAAAAATGTGTGAGCTGGAGGCTAAAAAAACTGTGAGCTAGCTCACACTAACTCAGCTTAGAGGGAATGCTGGTTGCCAGTCTGGAGGAGTGTGTGTGTTGGTCTGAGGGGAACAGACAAGTCCCTTGAGAAGTGAAGGGACACGGCTCCTTGCCCTTACTGTGTACCGACACATTTGAGGGAAAGTTCAGAAAAGTCTAAGTGTCAGCCCTAGCTGACCCCCAGAACTGGGGTTTAGGTTTGACAGAAGAGACTGGACAGAAGGTTGAAAACTGCCAGCCTAGCCAAACAGAAAAAGGATTATCGTTCCTAGAAAAGAAAAGTTATAGTCCCACAAAGGAAGTATTTAAATACAGGAAGAAAGTACTAACTTCCAGGAAATGAAGATATTTTTATGACATTTTATTAAGACACATTGTTGCTGAAAGAAATCTCCAAGCCAAACAACCCTCTCACAGTCAAGAACTGAGCCTTTAAGGATATAAGCTTCAATTACACTCTTCTTGTCTGTTCGAAACATTCTAATTTATATAAACAACAACAGTCACCTCAACTTCCCATCCCCTGTCCTATTCCAAACCCAACTGTGCCTGTTCAACAAACTCAACTTTTCTGTTTCAACTTCACTTTGTGTCAAGTGCCGTTTCCAAAAGGGATTTATAAGAGGGCTCTTGCTGGGCTACAACAAATCTCTGGCCTGGGCAAAAGCCAAATGACTTCTCTGTCACGGGGTGGGACACACAGAAAGTTATAATTCTATCATTAAAATATGCTACTAAGAGGCTGCTCAGTCAGAGTGGGGAACAGTGTTTTAGCAGGGAAATCTGCCTCACAGAGAAGAAGAATTAGCTGGCAACCTTAGGAGGGGGAAATGGAGGCACATAGAAAACATGCTCATGCACTGCCAATAGAAATGTGATAAGCTGCATGCCAGTTTTATTATGGGGAATAGACGGATGGAGAATGATGATAACTTGGATGAAAAGGGCAGAAAGTCCTGCTCAGAATGAGTGTGTGAAAGCCCCAAGCTCAGTCTGCAGAGCATCTGACTGAAGCCTTTAAAGGTCTATCAAGATGGCATCCTTTTGTTGTTGTTCAGTCGCACAGTCAAGTCCGACTCTTCGTGACCCCATGGACCAGATCACACCAGGTCTTCCTGTCTTCCGCCGTTTTCTGAAGTTTGCTTAATTTCATGTTCGTTGCATCGATGACACTGTCTAACCATCTCATCCTTTGCCGTCCCCGTCTCCTTTGACCTTCAGTCTTTCCCAGCATCAGGGTCTTCTCCAGTGAGTGCTCCTTTCTCATTGGATGGCCAAAGTATTTGAGCTTTGGAAGTTGGCAACAGGCTATCCCAGTTCACTCCTCACAATAACTGCGTGAGGTCAGAAGGAATGCCAGCCTCCAGGTGGGAACTGGAGATCTCCTGGAATTACAACTGATCTTCAGACTACAGAAATCAATTCCTTGAGAGAAAATGGTTGCTTTGAGGAGTGAACTCTGTGGGTCCTTCCATGCCCCAAACTCTGCCCTCCCCAGGCTCTCTCCCCCAAATCTCCAGGAACCTCCCAACCCAAAACTGGCAGTCCTCGAGATGAATCAAGCCAACAGCAAAAGACAACATTTTCTGTGCTTCAGGGATGAGCTCTCCTCCTGAAGGCCAACATTCGTTCCTCTTCTGATCGCACAGAAGGTCAGATGAGTAAACCTGAGGATCCCTCCGCTATCCTAATACTCAGGAAAGTGTAGCCCACAGTATATTTAAAGGATATTGTGTTTTTCACTAAAATCTGTTACTCCTTTTTGCAGCCCTGTGTGTTTCCTGCAGGGAGAATCCACAACAGGCATGCAGCAAGGGAATCATTCCATGGTGAAAGGGTTTGTACTGCTGGGCCTCTCCCAGGCAAGAGGAGTCCAGCTCCTCCTCTTTGTCCTCTTCCTCATCTTCTACTCATTGGTCCTCCCAGGAAATGTCCTCATCATCTTGACCATCCGGAGTGACCCTCGCTTGGGCTCTCCCATGTACTTCTTCTTGGCTAACTTGGCCTTCCTGGATATCTGCTACTGTTCCGTCACCCCTCCCAAGATGCTGGCTGACTTCTTCTCCCGCCGCAAGACCATCTCCTACAAGGGCTGCATGGCTCAGCTCTTCTTCCTCCATTTGCTCGGTGGATCCGAAGTCTTCCTTCTCATTGGCATGGCCATCGATCGGTATGTGGCCATCTGCCACCCCTTGCATTACTCGATTGTGGTGAGTAGACCAGTCTGCAGCGCCATGGTGGTGGGATCCTGGTGCTTGGGCTTTGTGCACTCCATTATCCAAGTCATCCTTATTGTCCCCCTCCCTTTCTGCGGCCCAAACAAGCTGGACAATTTCTTCTGCGACATCACTCAGCTCGTGAAATTGGCTTGCGTTGATACCTATGCTCTGGAGCTCTTCATGTTTGTGAACAGTGGCATTTCCACCCTCATTGGTTTCATCCTTCTCATCATCTCCTATGGGATCCTACTGGTCAAGGTGAGGACAGGCTCGAGCCAAGGGAAGAACAAAGCTGCCTCAACTTGCATCACTCACATGATCATTGTGGTCATCATGTTCTGTCCCGCCATCTACATCTATTGCCGCCCCTTCCTGGAATTTCCTTTTGACAAGGTCGTGGCCATATTCCACACCATGGTCTTCCCCTTGATGAACCCCATGATCTACACTTTGAGGAACAAGGAGATCAAGCAAGCCATGAGGAGGCTGTTGAGCAAACACAGACCTCTAGCTTGAAAAGACCTACTACCGTGTATCCCCCAAAATAAGACACTGTCTTATATTTATTTTTTCTCAAGAAGACACATTAGGGCTTATTTTCAGGGGATGTCTTATTTTTATTAAGTATAATACAACAATCTACATTTATTCAAATACAGCTAAGTCATCTTCTTCTGGAACATCGTCATAACTCTCATCACTAGGTCTTATTATCGGGGTAGGCCTTATACCACAAATGGGCTTTTTTTTTGGGTAGGTCTTATTTTCGGGGAAACAGGGTAGGTCCTTTCCACATTTGCCTGCAGATTTTCTCTGTGTTCGGGTCAAGGCAATTTAAATCCACGGCAAAACAGCATCCAAATAACCTGGGGTAACAGCAGGCTTAAACTGGGTTGACCACTGAAGGGAGGGAATGTAATGCAGAATGGAGGGGGGGGGGATGCAATAAAAAGGTTAACCTTGATTTTAGTGCAGAATGGGAATAAACCCTGGATTTAAAAGAAGGTTGAATTCAACTTTAGTGCAGAATTGCTTGGAGGATACCACAGTGAATGTGGATCAAAAGGAGAGTGCAGAAAGGGCCCTAGTGTAAATTCTAGGAGAAAAGGAAATATCTTTTGCCCATTGTGCTTCAGCCCCCAGTTCCACCAAGAGACCACCAGTAAGGATCCAGGTATGGCCCACACAGACACTTCAGGGCCCTGACACACCCTGCCCTGGAACAGGAGTAGGGTTGCCAGGTCTGGGTTGGAAAATACCTGGAGACTATGGGCGGGGTTTGGGGAGGGGAGGGGCCTCAGCATGGTCCAGTGCCATAGAGTCCACTCTTCAAAGCCACCATTTTCTCCAGGGGAGCTGATCTCAGTCAGCTGGAGATCAGTTCTAAAAGCGGGATATCCCCAGGCCCCACCTGGAGGCTGGCAACTCTAAACAAGAGACTGTTGAGTTTGAGAAAAGAAGGACTAGAAATTCAAACACTTTTTCTACTTCTTTTTTTTATTTTATACAACTTTTATTAAGTTTAACACCTATGAATAAATAATACATTTTTCCAAAGATGAGCAGAACAGTTTTTATAATCGATAACATTATACATATGAATAGCGAAGGTTGCATGTAATTAATAACTTGTTTTCCAAAATGAATTACGAACATTTCAATAACAATAGTGTACATTGAGCTGCGGTGGCTCAAGTGGTTAAGATGCTGAACTGCAGGCTGTGGAAGGTCGGTAGTTCAGCAGTTCGATACCCAAGTGTGCCGCATTATGGAGTGAGTTCCCGTCTCTAGTTCCAGCTCCTGCCAACCTAGCAGTTTGAAAGCAAGAAATTGCAAGTAGATAAATAGGTACCACTTCAGTGGGAAGGTAACAGCGTTCCATGCACCTTGGTATTTAGTCATGCCGGCCACATGACCACGGAAATGTCTTTGGACAGCGCTGGCTCTTCGGCTTTGAGACGGAGATTTGCATCGCAACCCTAGAGTCGGATTCGACTCGCTTTCGAGCAAGGGAACCTTTACCTTTACCATAAGAGAGCAAATATAACTTGTAAATCACATATAAAAATGGATAAGAAAGAATTGGAACTGAGTTACAATTACTTAACAAAAACAAACAGAGACATTTGTGCAACTGAGACCATTCAGAAGAGATAAACTGTTGTTGAGCCAGGTAGTCTAGGCCTGGAAACCATTTCCCATTACATTTAGAGTGACTTGAATGTTGAGATTTGTAATTCATTTTTTTTTGTGACCACATCCATAAAGTAGTGATTCCACAGTTTACAAAACTATACCTCCATCGTTGGGGCTTTCATATCTTTCCAATACGATGCAATCGCTGTTTTAGCAGTGTCCAACATAACTTCAATAGTCACTTTGTGTGGTCTATTATCTAGGTCTTGGGTGTTGGAGTATGTAAGTATTCAGCATGTGTGAAGCATGGGTAATAATGTAAATAGATCATGCCAATCTAAAGTGAAAGGTGTCAGAGTAACTGTCAGTCCAGGAGACCAGAGCAAACCGGTTCTGGCTGGTGCAATGCTGGTGTCTTATCAGATTGACTCAGCAGTGATATGATTGGTCGTTATGTGTATATAACTGTGAATGTACTGTACATTGTGTGCTGACTTGAATGTTGACTGCTTGGTGAAGCACTTTGACAGTGAGAGCTCTGTCTTGTAAATAAGTGCACTGTATATAGTTAACCACTAAACCTGAGTCTGTGTGGTGATTATAGTGGGATTTCAGCAGGGTGCAATTGGACTGCTAGAATTCAACAGTGACCTGGGGATGCAAGGAGCGCACTCCGCGACAGGGTTATGGGCCCAGTGTAACTGCGCTATGTCCAGGGTGAGCCCTGACTGCATTGTATCCAGTGTCAAGCCGAGGATTCAGCCAGAGTCCAGCCGGAGCATCCAGGTGCTGAACGGTCTGTGTGCTGCGAAAGCCAGGAGCTGTGAGTGAGTCGATTGCTGTTCTTCAGGGAGGAAAGGATTACAACCTGCTTGGGAACGTTCCTGGCACCAGCGGAGGAAACAGACAGAGATATCAGCTCGGGGGAGTCAACGGAGCCGGAGAGTGACTGGTGAGCTACAGAGAGCGTCCAGCATGGCTCAAGTAATGTCAGCCAAGTGGGTGGAAAATCTCAATTCCAACAACTATAACATATGGGAGCTTCGGATGAAGCATTAACTAAAGTGAGAGGGTCTTTGGCTCTATGTAGAGAACCCTCCCGATCCTGTGCCTGCTGGTGATGAGCCAAAAGTGGAGAAAGCACTTGCTAACATCATTTTGTCTATAGCAGATGATCAACTGATCCATGTTACAGAAGCAACAACGGCAAAGGAGGCTTGGGATAGTCTCCGGGCTGTGTATGTTCAACAAACTGCAGGTACTTTGATATCTCTTTACCGGAGGCTTTACCAGAAAGTGCAAAGCAGAAGTGAGCCGATAAGAAAACATTTAAATGCATCAACTGACTGTTTTCATCAGCTTGAACAGAATGGAAAGCAAATTTCAACAGAGGATAGAGTGTATGTAATTCTTAGCGCTCTCTCTGCTGATTATGAAATGCTAATTACCTCCCTGGAGTCTATGCCAGCTGATAAACGAACATTGCAATATGTGATGGGCAGGCTGATTGAGCACGAGGCGAGGATTAAAACACCAGGTTGGCCGAGTTCCTGGACAGCCGAGCCACCTGTGGCTGCGAGTAAGATAAGCAACGCTGATCATCTCAAGGCTTTGAGAGTAAGAAAGTGTTACATTTGTGGGGCCACTTCTCATTTAAAAAAGAGTTGCCCAAAGCAGCAAAAGAAAAATGAGCGTCCTGACACCAAGTCAAGAACTAACAATGTCTCTTTAGTAGTTACAGGAGAGGCACAAACTGACAGTCAATGGTTAATTGATAGTGGTGCTAGTCAAATATACTGCAAGGATGAGTGTGCTGCAGAACAAGCAACGCTTTCAACAACAGCATGTCACTTTAGCCGACGGCTAATGCAAACGTGACTTGCGTCGGAGAACTAATTTTTCCTGCAGTGAAGCACACATTCCAAAACGTACTTTGTGTTCCTTCATTGGAATGTAACCTGCTAAGTGTGTTGGCCCTGGACCGGGCAAGCTTTGAGATAACCTTTGCAGCCAAAATGCAAAGCATTAAGAAGGCTGGGAGGGAGGTTATCAAAGCACAACTACATAATGGTGTTTATGTGATAAATAATGTGTCAAATGTTTCACTTGTCAATCCGCACAATAACTGTTTGCATCTCCTACATAGGAGAATGGGGCATGTCAGCTTTAGCAGCTTGAACAAAACATTATCACTCACTGGTAGAGAAGGAGTGAAGGAATGTAAAAACTTTTTAGATTGTGACGTATGTAAACAAGTGAAGTCCAAAGCTTTCCCGGTGGCTAAGAAAAGCGAAAGGGTAACAACTGAATCATTAGGTCTGGCACACGCAGATGTGATGGGACCGTTTCCAAAATGTAAACAAGTGAAGTCCAAAGCTTTCCCAGTGGCTAAGAAAAGCGAAAGGAGTTTCTCTGGTAACCAATATGCACTTTGTCTCACTGATGATTTTTCCAGATTTTCATGGATTTTTGTTCTGAAACATAAGTCAGAGGTATTCAATACTGTGAAGTACTGGTATAAAAGGGTGAGAAACCATGTAGGTGTGTTGAAAGCATTTCAAACTGACATGGGGGGGTGAATTTATGTCTCATCAATTCAAGGAATGGTTGCAGAAAAATGGTGTAAAACATAGAGTTGCCAATCCACAGACCCCAGCGGAAAATGGCCTGGCAGAGCGCCATAACAGCATGTTACAAACTATAATGCATTCTATGCTTGCTGACGCAGGGTTAGAGATAAGGTATTGGGCTGAAGCCATAAAAGCAGCATGATGTTGTGAACAGAGTGTGGTCTAGAGCAATAAACAATATACCTTATACTGCATTATATGGCAAGGCTCCAAAGTTGGATCATTTGAGGGTGTTTGGCTCAAAAGCCTGGGTAAATATTCCCTTAAGCCAAAGGAGAAAAGGAGGCAAACATTCCAGGAAGTTACTGTTTTTGGGGTACCAAACAGGTATGAAGGCATACAGGTTTGCCAATGACCAGAGTAATCTGACCTTCAGCAGGTCAGCAAATTTCTGTGAGAGCCAAAACTGGCACAGAGTGCACTCTAACCAAATGAATGAGCAAACAGCTTTACCTTTGACAAATGGTGATGAATGTGAGGTTCAGCAACAGGGTACTGTACAACCTGGTGTATCTGAGGAAGTTAAAAGTGAACACGTGTCACCAAGGAGGTCTACCAGACATACTAAAGGTGTGCCACCTCAGAGATATGGGTACGATGTAAATGTGGTCAACCATGTGTTTGTAAGGGAACCTGCAAACTACCAAGAGGTGACTGAAATGTCTGATGATGAGAGAAAGCCATGACTAGATGCAATGAGGTCTGAATATGATTCATTAAAGGAAAACAATGTATTTACTCTGACAGAGT